CAATCTGAGGCCTTGTCTACCTCAAATAACTGCACCGATGCATCTAAAATGTAATTCAATCCATGCAATCTGCTAATGTGGACACACTTATTTTGATTTGAGCCTTGTATTGATTTAGTTTATGCCAGCGATGAAACAGCTTAAGCTAAATGGATACAATATACTAGTCAGAATCTTTTAAAATAATTTCCATATGAGGAAGTTGCACATCCTTGTCTACCTCAAATAACTGCACCGATGCATCTAAAATGTAATTCAATCCATGCAATCTGCTAATGTGGACACACTTATTTTGATTTGAGCCTTGTATTGATTTAGTTTATGCCAGCGATGAAACAGCTTAAGCTAAATGGATACAATATACTAGTCAGAATCTTTTAAAATAATTTCCATATGAGGAAGTTGCACATTTTAAACTCAGTTTCTAAAATGATGTTGTTAAATTGGTGCAGATGTAGACAAGGCCTGAGGAGACACAAGGACTGACTGAATGTTGTTCAGATCCTTCATAAGGATGGCCCAAGTGAAAAAGGGGTAGGAAATGGGAGAGAGAAGCAGCGAAAAGAAAAAAGATGACAATATTGCAATTGAAGAGACTCTCCTGTCTGTGTTGTTGACCCAACAGGATTAGTGTCTGTTCTCTGCCATTGGTGGGAGAGATGGGAACTGTGGACACATTTCTCTCCCCATAAAGCTCCAATGGCAGAGTGATTGGCATGGAGCTGTGGCCAAATCTGAGCAGTGTCACACTGTATATCTCTTTGCTGTTTTCAGTTTCCTTCTCCCAAGTGACCTACTAGTCATGTTCCCAGGAAAGTTCCATTTACTCTACTCCACCATTCTACGTCTCTGCCCCCTGAGTAGGTACAAACACAAAATAACCAGCTGTACCCCTACTGTAGGATTCCAACCCTCCCTTGTGTTACCAGTCAGGGAGAGCAGTAGAAGAGGACGTAGGTTTGTGTGCTCGAAGAACACGACAGAACGAGGACAAATGCTGCTGACTAAAGTCACAGGCTCTTCAGCCGATTCAGAAGTTGGCAGCCACTCTCTCTTTTGCCCGTTGGTTCACTGATGGCATGAGGAAGGGGTGGGACTTTGGTTGAAAAGAAGGGAAGATAATGAGGGAGGGAAGCCTCTTTTTTTTTTTAAGAAGTGGCATTAACTCGTCTATCAATTTCAATTATTTTCAGTGTTTCATTCACTTCCAGCTCTGAGCTGACTCTGTAAGGAGAAAAATAAGAAAGTATGTTAATACCTATATGCAGCCATACAAAAAAAGCACTCTCTCCACTGAAACTGGCTACTGCTATTACAGTGCCTGTTTACCAGGAACTCACTGGTTGGAACTTGGTAACACTGCAAATGAGTCACCTCTTCAGTTGTGGATTTAATTTTGGCCTCCAATTTAAATTAGATATACAGTAGACTTCCGATAATCCGGAACCTTTGGGAACTAGGTGGTGCCAGATTATCAGATATGCCGAACTATCAGGAGGTACTATAAGCTGGTTATAATATACTGTATACATTATATACTGTATATAAAGTGTTCTTAACCCTTTCTGTTGTACATACTGTATACAGTATACTGTGATGTTTTAGTTTTTTTAACCCTTTTTTACTCTTTTTGCTTGGTTCAGCTGCCGCCGCTGTTGCCGTGTAACTCATTTTTTGCCGAAGCTCACTCACTAGGCTCTTGCTATTTTGATGCCGGACTATCAGGAGTGCCATACAATTGGATGCCGGACTATTGGAGTTTTACTGTACTGTGGTGGACATGGGTGGGCAGAAGCTCTTATCCTAGTCTGTTAAGAGACATATATAAATAAAAACCTATTTGGCATAATGAAAAGGATCTGTTGAGGAGAGATCCGGGCTTTGAGAAGCAGGATACTGGTAAGGCACCCAGCGGTAAAAGTGAAGGAAAAGACATCACACGTCGGTTCTTCAAAACAGAGTTTCTCTCATTTTCAAAGAGCACCAAAATCTCACATTGTTTTGAAGCAAGAATTTACCAAGAAATTCCATGAAATTTTGTCATGGTGACCCTTCTAGCAATACATGCTCCATCTTCCCTTTAGCAAAGCTATGTTGAGTGCAAAAGGCACCCAGTTCCTTATAACCCACCCAGTCAGAAATCTTAGCAATCCACAAGCTCATGTTGACACTCAAAAGTGACAATGCCCCATGGCCTGCAAATTTTCAGATTGCTTAATGATGCAAATTTCCTCTCAGTTTTCAACACTTAGGCAATGTATCTCCCACTAGGTGATATTTTACTGGTACTTTCCTTCACAGGAAGTTATTTGTATACATGTGTGTGTACACATCAGACACAAACATGGACATCGACAAATATGGTAATTTCCTGCAAAACCTCATTTAAAATTAAACCTTACTGAATTAAGTTTAAGTATCTTAAGAGCTCATTGTGAGCACTAGCTCACCCCACTGTGGGTGGAAGCCCCAGCAAACACCCACCCACATACGCACGGTGCTGGAGCACAAGCAGAGCCCCAGTGCACTGAGTTGAGTGTGAGGGGTGGGTTTGGTTTTTTTTTTAAACCTTCTCACTTATGCGTGGAGCCAGAGTGATTTTTCTGTGGGTCAATGGCTCCGTACTGAAAAAATGTTCCCCACCCCTGGTCTAGACTGTAAGCACTTCAGGGCAGGGACTGTCTTGTGCTATGTCATTACGATAGTGCTTACTACAGCAGAGCCCTGATTTTGACCCGGGGCCTCTGCACAACAGATATACAAATAAGGGTCCAGGAAACATGCAACAAGGAATTTCATGCAACTCATGCTTAGGCTTGCTTCCTTTGCACTCACCTGTGCGGCTGCAGTCCTAGCAACACTGATTTCTCTAGCCTTGTTTCGTTGGCTATTGTGAAGTGAGTGACTTTGTCCTGCTGTGCCCCTGGCACGGATTCCAGAGATAGGGCTGTGTGTTTGGACGCATCCAGCCGCCTGTCCCAAACGTCACTGCGATCTGCAAAGGAGATTGAACCATACTGCTCTTCCAGTTGGTGAGGCTCTTCGTAAATTAGCAGGCTTCTTGACCGTACTGCGAACAAACAGGGGAGGCAGAAACTACATGAGAAACATAGTGAGCCCAGCTATAAGGGCACTGGATATGTCAGGAATTGAAAGTGGCCAAATATAAATGCAATATATCTCGTTGCTCAGGATTTTGCTACCCAAGGCGATAAGCTAATATATTTTAGAGCTGAGGAAATATGCTGCACTGACAATCATCCATGTGTGCCCATCACAAGTTCAGCATGCGCACTGGTAATGCAAGACCCTTTCCCCACAAGCCCAGAGACTGTGGTTGAACTGAAGGGATGACTTCCAGAGTGAACACTAAGAGACCAGGGCCACAGGTTCCATTTTAACAAACAGTTATCAGAGATAAATACAGGTTATACCTCCAAAAACTGGCACTCCCTGGTCTAGCAACATCCATTGTCTGGCAGGACCATTGATGCTCCCGGACCAGAAAGCCCAGGAGCCTAAGGGCAGGAGGACCAGCCAGGGCTGCAGCAACAGTGTCAGCAGCCTGGTTGGGGACAGTATGAGACCGGGGCTGGATCCCCACAGCAGCCTGTGGCAGAGCAGAGCTGTGCTCGAGTCCCTGGCTGGATGGGTCAGTGCGGGGCTGGATGGCAAAAAAAAATTTTTTTCCTCAACTAAACTTTTCCAACCCACTCTCTATACTTGCCTTTCTACCTATAAAAACACCAACACCTCAAAAAGGGGGGGGGGGGAGAGGGGAGAGCGAGACAAACAAACAACTGCACTGGGTTAGCTTACCGATGGAGGCCGTGTATGACTCTGGTGTGGAATGCTGGCTAGGCAGCACCATCTTTGTGGCAGAAGGATAGGGGCTGTAGGTCTGAGAGAAGCTACCAAAAATGACTGCAAAGCATAGCACCACCACCTGCAACAAGACAGAAGAAAAAAAATGTCACTCTTTGATCACAGAATGAATGGGAATTAAGATTAAAGACACAACTGCCATGTTTTTTTATTTTATTTTTTTTTAAACCCCCCCAAAAAAAAATACTGCTTCCAGGCTATTTTTGGTCAATATATATGCTGCCCCTAATCAAAGGTACACGGACAATAACAATTCAACAGTGAAGAGGACAGATTTCAATGCAAGAGTTTTAAAGATTGCCGTCATTTTATTCTGTTGCACTTAATTATTTGGAAGTTGGAAAGGCTAGTAGCACAACTTAACTGGACTGACCTCTGACATGCATTTAAAGATCCATGTTGCTTAACCTGTATCAAGCATTTCTAAGCCTCTTACTGTTGGATACAATCTTGCTTAAAGGTGACAAATGAAGAAGCCTGAAGGCTCAGTGTCAGACTAGACACCAATTTCCATCCAGCTAGAGCACCAACTTAAAAGTAAAGCCTTTCTAACAGTTCTTTTACCCTGATTATAAGTGAGAATTCAACAAGAAGAGAGGTAGATTTACAGCCTCTGAATTATTTTTATTTTAATACATTCATTTGTTATTTGGTTCTAACAGAATGAAGTGACAAAGGGCTCCCATTCCATAGCTTCTTTGACACACATTTAAATATACAAGATTATAAGAGGCAACAAAAATCAACCAATGCAACAGCACTTCTTGCTTCACACTTAACACTTAATCTAATCAGCAGCACACCTCGCCAGACAGTAATCCCACCCTCAGACCCCCTGTCAATGGCTGCTCAAACAGATGGACTTTGTAGCGGATAGTCCATGGTCTTGTGTTCTTGCAGCCCTTAGGTCTGATACAAGCACGTTCTAAAGGAAAGGGCCTTCACAGAACATGCTCCACCAGAAGCCCTCCCACCCTGCTTTTATACCAAGTGGGAATATCCCCCTACTTCCTCCAAAGATCATGACTGTGGAAGTATGTCTGGAGCAAAGAGGTGGTCTCTTAGACAGGAAGATCCCATTATAATGGCCACAAACTAGGATTCTTTCCAGTAAGGTGGTGAAAAATCTCAGAAATCCCAGAAGTCATTTAAGACCTTTGCGCTACATTTCATTGTTACATCTTGACAAGAGATGCTTCCCACCCTGTGGGCTTTCAGCCTGATGGGCTGAACAGAATGGGGAGGGTACTCTTAAGCAAAAAAAAAATCCACACATGTCCCAGGCTGTCTCAGTATTCATGATTTCCCAGCTTCCTGCTGCTCCAACTCTTTTTCCAACCCTGTAGTACTATGGAGTTGAGACAGACAGACTTGAGCTGGACTGGGAGAGTGTGTTTTTTAGCAACCATTGGCCTGAGGTCCCCCAACTTTTGAGTCACTCACCATGAGACAGGTCCCTGTCTGAGTGCTGGCTGCTTTATAGGAACGGGACACTTTACCAGCAACCATGGCTTGGAGTCTCTGTAACTGCTGCAGAAGAGTTCTGGAATGTCAAGAGTAACACATAAATATTAACTAGTAGCTTTCCATACCTCAGCCCATATGAGAATGCAGCTTTTTACCTTGATCTCTGTGCCTTACTAACAGTAAACATTTAAATGCAGGTGCATCTAGTTAAAATCCTCCTCTTAAATTTAGAGGCAAGGAAAGTGGCACTAATTTTCCAAAATAGAGTGCATATTCACCCAAGGAATACTTTTTCCCATAAATGACACCCATTTCATTCTTCCCCACATATTCCCACCAACTATTTTACTTCCTACTTTTGAGGTTCCTACTTGTTCATCCAAGAAGAATCAGATTTTTAGAAAAGGGGGAGCAGAATTACCACAACTATGTGTGCAGTTGAAACTTGCATTCATAGCACAACTGATCTCAAATCAGATGTGCAGTTGGTCATAGGAGAATGTAACAGAAATTTTGCCACTGACTAATAGGCGCAGGATCTGGTCCACAATTATCCTAATCGATTGTGTAGCTGTCCTCAGACATTTCTGAAAATCTAGTTCGTAAGGAAAACTGGAAAGCTTTTGTAAATAAAATGTGTTAAAAATCACAAAACCTGTAATATGTTTAGTCTTTTCTACCTATTCATTTGATTTAAATAAAATATTTAATGTTGCTTCCTCCTAAGGTTACCTATTTAAGTCTCATGTCCTCCAAAAGCTGATGAAGTCACAGAAACCTATGTTGCTTGCTATTATTACAATCGTTCTCAGAGGCTGTACTGTGCTGGACAACGTAAGAGTCTCAGTCAAAGACAGCACTTTCTACCCTCCTGGCTTAGTGTAAAAGTATAATGGAGTGCTACAGGGATTACAGCCCATGAATTTGAGTATTGGCAGTTTAAAAGTGAGGTAAGAAGTGATCTCTAACTATAGTTAAGCGACTATATTTCAGCCTGCTCCAAATGACATTCCGTTACTGATTTAGGCCTCCAAATTATTCTCATTTTGTTCTGACAAATGCCTTTGAACACGGTTGGACTAAAGCCAGTGCCTTATTTCAAACACACACACAAACCTTTGGAGAAGTTTGTACCTGGATTCTACTTCTGCAACTGAATCCCATTTTTACATTTCATTTCACCTCTAAGAGATTGCTCGGCCTCATGACAAATACACATGGCAACCCACAACAGCTTTAAAGGCTGTGATACCAAAAATGCTGGAGCAAGAGAGATGGGAAAGAATTATTTTAAAACCAAGTTATTAAAAGCCAATTGTAGGACAGACCCAGAGGTGCCTTTGCAGCTCAATACACACACACCTGTTTTTATAGATTTTTTTTTTTAATCAATGATCATTGTTAATTAAGGTAGAATGATTTCAAGGACTTCAGAAGTGGAATCTGAAATTAGTACAAGGAATACTCCCCCAGCACAGATTTATTTGGGCCAGCAGATCCTTTCCAACTTTCACAAGGGTGTCTAACATGCTGTTGAAAATACAGTGTTTCACAGCTGGGTGTAAAATAAAACAAGTGGTTATCCTTCTTCTGTTCTTTATCTACAGTAGGGGCAACTGCAGGCAATTATGTGGGAGAGACACTTCAATTCAGATGAAGGAGGCCGCAACAGCTACTCAACAATACTGTTACACAGCATGCCTGAGTCACACAACCAGCTTTCCTTAAAAGGTAAATATATACTGAGCTTGGCTATTTCCATCTTCTAAACTAGTGTACACATGTCATGGGAAATGTTTTTTTTAACCTTGTTATGCATAAATCACTGTAGTGACACAAAACCAAATCCTCCCCAAGACAGAGTAGTTGGGCATGAGGCACCAGAGTTCCAGAGGAGTTTCAGAAAAAAAAATTCCTTCCAGCTCTGGGCCTGCTATTGCAGTCTTGAGACAATAACAGAAGCCTTCACATAGCCACAGCTCTTGCTGCTCTGGGGGATTTAGGAGAGAAGGTGGAGATGGGTGTTGGGAAGGAAATGGCAGATGGATCTGCATAGTGGCACTGGCATATCCACTAACATTTCTCCTCTCTGCCACTCCCTGTGCAAACCTTGCAGTGCAGAGAGCCCCTGAAGACCTGAACTCCAAGATGCTATGCTCCCTAAATCTTTCTTTTCTCCCACCAAGCAGTGAAAGCATACCACTTCCACTGCCTCTTGGGCCCTTCATGGCCCAGGAAGTGGGCCATTAGATTTGCCCCAAAGTATTTACCAATTGCACAAAGTATGGATACTTTGTACTGGAAGTAAACAACTACTTGTAAGTTTCAACAACAATCTTCAAACATCTCTAAACTGGACCTCACTTACACTGGTGAAAATCAGAAGTAGCCTTTGTGAAGTCAATGAAGTGACTCCCTATTTACCCTGGCATGAGGAGAGAATCAAGGCCACCAGTCTTGTTCACCATACTCAAGGATTCAGTGCTGGGAGTTAAAATACTCATGATGCATTTTCAAGCTCAGAACAAGGAACCAAGGCAAGAGAAAGCTGGAGTTCATTTGTTTGGAGCAACATGGCTACCCCTTTGCCATGGAATGGAACACTCAACCACTCTTCTTTTCTATAGTTTGGTCCAAAAAGCTAGAAGAGATCATTGAAGGTCAAAATGCCTCCTCTCACATAGAAAAGGTGCCTTCAATATCATTACTGTTGGAGAAAAACCCAAACAACAAATGGCCTGGTAGCACTTTATAGACTAACAAAACATGTAGATGGTATCCATCTACATGTTTTGTTAGTCTATAAAGTGCTACCAGGCCATTTGTTGTTTGGGTTTTTCTCCAACAGTAATGATATTGAAGGCACCTTTTCTATGTATGAAATTACTATTGGAGTGAGATGTGCTAATGGAAACTATAGGAAGAGCAGCTTTGTGGCGTTAAGAACATGGGCATTTTATACCAAGAGGCCTTGGCTGAACATCTGAAGGAAGGTCAAGAATGCTTTTAGTAAAACATATTGCCCATGGCTGAATTTTAATGGGAGAAAATGAAATCCTGAGGCAGTACAGATAAGGGGTTTACACCCTGGGATTAATCTCACTCTGTCTGACACATTTCCTGGTGATATTCAATTAGAGGGTCACCTTCTCGTAGGAGGTGTGAATGTGCTTTCACGCTTTCCCTGCCAATGGAGTGCCTTGCAAGAAAGCTGTAAAGTAACTGAGGGATTCCCTTTCCCTTCTAGTCTTTCTGGAAAATCCATTCCAGCCTGTGATGTCTTCTTTGTGTTTTTATATAGGTAGATTTCTTTCAGAAAGGTTCCTTTAACACCGAAGGATGGACTCAATCCAAGCTTCACCACAACACTTTCCTGAACAAGACATGCTGTCTGGCACAAGCATGAAATATGGGTCACTGCAGGATCACCTTATCAACTGAAGGAATTACCAATGAGACTTTGGTGACTCTATTGCAGCTTCATCTCTTGCAATGCGCCTGATCTAATACAGTCACCTGACACTGCACCTTGGAAGTCAACAAAAGTTTTACTTTTAACTTCAATGGGAGTAGTAGCAGGGTCTCAATGGACTAGTCTTAGCATCCAATAAAGAGCAACCAGATTTCACTTAAAAAACCCTAACACTACCACCTTCCAAAGTGATCTCTGTGTGTCAGGTTGGAAAGCAGCACAGCTTGCTTTCTGTTGTTGTTTCCCCTGGCAATCCCATCATTCCTGATCCACATTCGAGCCAAGAGGTTGTAATAACCAGTTTGTGTGCTATCATAGTTTTCCCGTACAGTTTGCACACACAGCACAAAAGTAATCCATACATCTGGTGAGGCACATTTTAAATAGGATCCAATTTCTATTATTTCTCTGGGGGAAATAATCAGTAATAAATACCCTATTTCTTTGCTAATTTAATACAGGTAAACCCTATTTTTTCCAACACTCCTTTTAATCCCAAATATCTGTTTCCTCCAGTCGGACTGCATGATGTAGGGGAAGCAGCATGGCCCACTGGATTCTACTCCCAGCTCTGTCATTGACCACCTTTGTGACTTTATGCAGTCACTTCCTCCACATTATCCTTATGCCTGTTTCCTCTCCCATCCTTTGTCTGTCCTGTCTATTGAAGCTTTCTGGTGCTAGGACTCTCTCTTACTTTGTGCCGTGCCTATCACAATGGAATCCTGCTTTCCCTTGACTTCTATAACTCTGTTCTGCCCTGGTTCTCCTCCTACCTCTCCAATTCCTCCTTCAGGCTGGTTTTTGCAGAATCCTTCTCATCAGCTCTTCAGCTTTCTGGGGGGCTTCATAAGGCTCTATTCTTGGCCCTCTTCTTTTCTCTCTCTAAACCAGTGGTGGGCAACCTGTGGCCCCTGGGTCAAATGAGGCCTGTAAGGGCCTATGACTTGTGAGATATTTTGCGTATGGCTGCCCACGTGCAGGGATGCCAGATTACGCTGGTTTCCATCTTTGCGTTTTCCCCCCTACCGGTATTACTGAAGTGATACGCACATAAAGCAAGGGCACCTGAAGCGCGGTGTGTGCTAATTGCTCGCAACACTGACTGAGAGCCATACATTCCCTCTGCATTCAAAGTGCTGCTACCATTCAATTCTCACACCCTGCAAATGCTACACACACAAGCAGTTAGCAAAACTATTCGATCCCAGAAGACCATCTTGTTGACGACAATCTTGCCTTCCCCCTGAGATGGCGGGCCACTCACGCAGCCCATTCGCTAGCCTCAGTTGTCCATCGTTGCTCTATACCTGATCACTGTGCAATCTCATCTGCAAACACAAATTTGAGTACCGTGTCTGTGCTAACCACTCATAGAGCCACTTCTCTACCACAGACCTACCTTCTCCTGCCTGAATTAAAATCTCATTCTCTCTCCCCCCAGCATCTCCTGCCTAACCACCAGCTGAAGCGAAGCATGGCTAAAACAGAGCTCCTGATCTTCCTCCTCTTTCAATCATTGTGGGCAAAACCACTATCCTGCCTGTCACTCAGGCCCATAACCTGGGCATCATCTTTGACCCTGCCCTCTTCTGTAGGCCTTCACATCTAGGTTTTGTCTAACTCTTACCTATTCTTTCTCTGTAACATCTCTAAGATGTACAGACTCTCCTATCCATTCACACACCTGAAAATTCTTGTCCAAGCTTTCATCCTCTCATGTCTCAGTTCCTGCAACATCTTTCTCTCAAGCCCGGACAAACACAATCTTGCTTTACTCTGATCTATTCACAATGCTGCCACAAAAGATGGCTTCCCTAGCTCATCATGCCGATTGTTCATTACTGCTTCCCCTTTGAATCCCCCCACTGGCTCCCACTTTTCTATTGTGTCAAACATAAGCTATTGGTCTTCACACTCATTTTTCTGTTGCTCTTAACTCCTTTTTAAAACCTTACTGGCCTAGCCCCACCTTACCTATCAGCTCTCATTTGCTCCTGAGCTATCGATGCTTGCCTCCAATTGGCCTTAGATGCCAGCTTCCACCACCCACTTGTTACATTTCCAAACAAGTATTCTTCTGCTGTGCTGCCTCACACACTGGAGATTTTGTGAACATTTTCAATGCTGCCCCTCATTATCCACCTTCAAAACCCTCATCAAAACTCCTGTCAGGGATGCCTATAAGAAACTCAACAGTTAGGCAGCTGATGTACAGAGACCACTGCCTGTTATGCAGACCAATACTCTCACTTGTAGTACCCCACATGTATGCAACTGCTCTCTCTTGTCTTATCTGGAGAGTGTAAGTTCTTTGGGGCTGTGACCATCATTTGATTCAGTGTCTGTATAGCACCTGGCACAAGAGAGTCCTGGCCCATGACGGAAAGTTCTGGATGCTACAATAAATCCCTGCGCCTTGGTTTCCTATTGATGAAATATCCTAATACTACAGTGAGAGCACCATAGAAAAATTATTAATTCTTGGCTCAGTCCTGGATTTAGACAATGTGTATTTAATAAAGGCCTGGGAGCCACACATTAGATGAGGAAGACAAAGAAATATTGAATAATTATTCATTCACTCAGGCAAAGGTCCTCAAATGTATGATCACTCAACTAAAGACTGTATCATGATGAACATGCACAAGAGGCAGACATAAGAATTGCCTAAACAACAGGGAAAGGGTCCAACTGCATGGAAAAGACACTTGCAGGGGAGAGGGGGTGGCAGGTAGGCAGCAATTAAAGGCTCTGTCAGCTTTCTCCACTGCCTGCCCACTGCCAGAGCCTTTCACTGACAAGCGTCGCTACAAGCCGCTGCATGGATCCATCCTGCTTTTCACTGCAGCATGTAGCTGCACATATCCTTCATACTATCACCTGGGATGGGCACGCTAGCCCAACACCACTAAGAAAGGCAAGGCTGATGAATGGAAACGATGCAACTAATTCTGTACATCTGGGATGTGAAAGACTTGGGGATAACATCACCCAAACAGATGCTGTTTCAGGGTTTAGTATCAGAGCTAAGAGCATCAGCAACTTGGGAAAACATTGAGTTTTATTAAAAATAGAACTTCTTTTCATTATTACACAAGGCAACCTTGGGTGTGAGGAACACATGACAGGGGCAAGATTTTTGGAAAGCCTGCTGTGTGTCACATTGGGTAAGACTATGCTTACACAAAAAACTGGGGACAAGGGCTATTTGGGGAGAGCCTTTTCAGGGGGCTGTTAAGGGGAATAGAGTCTGTAACTGGCTATTTCCTCTTTCTTGCACCTTGTTTTAAAACAGCTCCCATGAGCTCCCATCAGAAACTGATTCTCGACCCGGTCTGATCTTATACAGCAATGCCAACCTTCTCATGCATAAGGCAGAATGGAGAGATGGGCAGAGGAGGGGAGAGAAGTGGCTTGGATCTCTCCAAACAAGCAGCAGATGTCTTTATGCATGAGCAGTGTGTGGGAGACATTCTCCAGCAAATTACAGTGATACGGGGTCTGTCTCCATGAAATTAGAAATTGGATCTGGAGATTAGAAACAACACATGCCACTCATTGAGCAACACCTTGGTTGCCAGACAAATTTTAGGTCCATTTCTAGGTTCTAGGGCTTATCTTTAAAGCTCAGTTATTTCACTGACCACCTCCCTCCACGCTTCATGTCTGTGTAGATATGTACGCCAGACTCATCCTGTACATAGACAGGAAAGCTATTCTCAGGGGAATTTGCCAGCACTAGATATCTTGTTGAGCTCAAGTCTTAAAACCTTTAAATCATGATGCACAAGAGCCCGAATATTTTCAACAAACAATAGTCTTCCTTTTATCAGATATGGGAGCTAAGCTGTGAAATGGCCTCAGCTGTTTGTCTTTTGAGTAAGCCACCTGAATTCACCTCTACCTGCTTCTAAATTAAGTGAAGAGGGGTAAGAAAGGGGTTCTAAAAAAAAAACCTGCATCGCTAAACTGATAGAGATGCTGTAGTGACAGGTGCCTTAGAAGGATGTCAGGCAATCAATGATCACAATTCTAGAAGAACTATTTAGGGTTCTAGATCTAGGCATCACGTGTCCACTGCAGCCCTACACTCCAGATTAGGGCCTCTCTTCTCCCAAGGTCTCATGTCAGACCAGTCTTCCATTAGTAAAAGACGGCTTGATGAGACTTTTCTAGCCCAGCAGTCTCACTCTTAGATCAGTCCAGAAGTTTGCTGGGAGAGTGACTAGCCTAGGGAGAGTACCCTAAGCATCAAACCTAAGGTCTCTCTCACTATGCTTAATACTTGATCACCAGCAGTGTTCCCTATAAGCTGAGTGCTTGGTCAGCCACCCAGGAGAGATTCAAATGCTGCCCAGCTGATTAGCAGAGAGCTCACAGTGCCTACAGCCAGCAGCATGTGTTTCTATTGGTGGTACACATCCACACATGCTTTGGTGTGCATAACAAAATTCATTCTATGCGGTGATGGAAAAAAATTAGAGAAAACTGTACACAAGGCCAGGTTTTTTAAACATATTTAACCTCCCCCTTCTTTGTCATTAACCAGATCAGATGGATCCATTTCTCATGAGTCACTGTCCACAGTTCTGGTACTTGATCCCTTGTTTTTCAGATTTCCTACTTTTCATTTTAGAAGCATGCTCCAGTTGTCCTTTCAGATCCTACCTGTTTGTGTTCTCAAGGACTTCCACTTTCTTACGCAGCTCACTGTTTTCATTTGAGCAGGACTCAACCCTGAGGAAAGCACAAGGAGGGAAAGGCAAACTTAAAACCAGACATCCATTATATTTCAACAAAGGGGGTAAAAACAGAGCCTATTCTAGATGAAAACACATTGCTGCAGACCTTTGCAAATCTTAAAGTCTAATCTCACACCACCTAAAAAAAGCCCCTGACAAATGTTACCCTAGGCAGTCTACAAGTACTGGTGACACCTCCTGGTTGTAGTGCTTGAGATGAGTTCTTAGTTTAGGTCCAGCTCCTTCAGTATCAGCTATAGTTATTTCTTCTCAGCTTATTGGCATGGACAGGATGCCCTGATGAGCCTTCTAGCTCCATCCCACCATGCCATGCTCTGTGTTTGATAGAGGGTCTTTCGGGTAACTCTTTCCAGGAACAGTGCTGTGGACCAGGTGACTATAAATAACCAGTGTTCTAAGATGGGTGGTTTATGGACACGCCACAACAGCTCTGACAAACAATCATGGTCACTATATGCACACCGTTTAACCATTGCAAGTATAGGCCACAATGTTGAGGTGGCCCAGACCACTTTTTGGCCTGACATAGTCAAACTCGGGACAAGCAATTTAGTGGCACAAGGGCCAGAAAAGGGCAGGAGCAGGCCCTGCCTACACATTGTGGTAAGAGCCAGTGAGCCTAAGCAGGGCCCACTCCATGAAATTAGAGCTGCAGTGGGAGGGGTCGGCTCGCTCTGCAACCTCCCCCAACGCCTGTCCAGAGGGGAAAAAAATGACACTACCATTTCCTTTCCTAGGGCTTCATACATCCCAGAAGCAGGACCCAACCTCCCCTCACCCACTTGGTTCTTACTCATTTTAAATGGTGCTCTGTAGCTCTGACTGCAAAGAGACACAACCCCCATTTTCTCACACTGTGTCCTTGATAGATCTTCCTGTATCCTGGAAGAGCAGAGTCAATGCATCTCACCTGCACTGAATCACAGAACACTAGATCTGGAAGGGACCTCAAGAGGTCATCAAGTCCAGCCCCCTGCCCTCACAGCAGGACCACAATGTGAATTAACCATGATATTTATTTCCAAAGAACATCTGTCATTTCCAAGAACATATTGCCTCATGAGCAACAGTAGTAGTGTGAGTAAGGTGACCAGACAAACCAGACTCCCCTCTTAGTAGAGGGGGAAGATGCAGATGGGAGAGCTTTGCCATGTGCTTGGGCATGTGGGGGGAGGAGGGGTGAGAGGAGTGGATGGGAAACAGGCTTTCAAGGGTTTGGCCTGAGGGGTGCAGGACTATTTCAGCTGGAGACAGAAAGAGAAAGAGGATAAATTGTTGGAGGCGTCACCAAAAAAAGTATTAGGAGTTAACAGATGGGTTGCATACAAGGAGAGATGAGGAAAGATTCAGGATACTTCAGAGAGTAATTAATTTGGGGCATAGATTTTGTGTGTATATGGTTATAGAAAGGTTATGGGGCGGGTTCCAGTGTGGCCTCGGGGATAGGGCGTTCGCCTGGGGAGGGCAAGGTGGCGGGTTTTAGTCC